TTGTCTTGCAAAGTAGGTGATACCATTTGACCCAGCAATCCCATCACTGGGTTTATACTCAAAGGATTTTAAATCATTCTACTATAAAGACACATGCACATGTATGCACTCTTCACAATAGCAAAGACTTGGAACCAACCCAAATGCCCATCAGTGATAGACTGGATAAAGAAAATGTGACACATATACGCCATGGAATAGTATGCAGCCATAAAAAAGGATGAGTTCATGACCTTTGCCAGGGACATGGATGAAGCTGGAAACCATCATTCTCACCAAACTAACACAGGAACAGAAAACCAAACACCGCATGTTCTCACTCATAAGTGGGCGTTGAACAATGAGAACACATGGACACAGGGAGGGGAACATCACACACTGGGGCCTAGGAGTGAGTGAGGTGCTAGGAGAAGGATAGCATTAGGAGAAACACCTAAAGTAGATGATGGGTTGATGGGTGCAGCAAACCACCATGGCACATGTGTACCTATGTAACAAACCTGCAGGTTCTGCACATGTATCTCAGAACTTAAAGTATTTAAAAAAAAAAAAAAAAAAGATACGGCAAAAAAAAAAGGACCAAAAAAAAAAAAAAAAGGGCTACAGTAGGGAAAGAAGTCTGAGTAGAATCTGCCTCTGTTTCCAGGACATTTCACTTTGTATGAGTGGTGACGTTCTACTGATTGATTCAGGGCCTTGTTTCAACCTTCACACAGCAGGGCCTGTGCGCAAAGTAGCAGGGAAGAAGGAGCTGTCACCTTATCTGCTCTGCAATATTGTCACATCCCCATGAAAAGAAACTTACATTTGTTTATTAAAATGTGCTTCTCCGTGCATGAAAAAGAAAACATTAAAATCTAACATATATGTGCATATGGGAAGAGGTTTCACATTAGTTACTACTGCTTAGAAACTATTTTTCTTTAAACTTTCATCACTTTATTTCCTTTGAAAATTTGCCTTCAATTAAAAAATTAATTATTTATAAAATTTTTGTTGGTACATAATAGGTATATATTCTTATGAGATACATGAGATATTTTAATACAATATGAAATAGGCACATGATGGAGAATGAGGTATCCATCCCCTCAATCATTTATTCTTCGAAACACAAACAATCTAATTACATTCTTTAAATTATTTTAAAATATGCAATTAAGTTATTATTGACTATAGTCACCTATTGTGCTTTCAAAACATAGGTCTTATTCATTCCTTCCGTTTTTTTTTTTTGTATCCATTAACATAGGTCTTATTCATTCCTTATGGGTTTTTTTTTTTTTTTTTTTGTATCCATTAACCATCTCACCTTCCCCACAAACCTCCCATTATCATTGCCATCCTCTGGTAACCATGCTTCTACTCCCTATGTCCATGGTTTCAACTGATTTGATATTTAGATCACACAAATAAGTGAGAACATGAGATGTTTGTCTTTCTATATCTGACTTATTTCGGTTAACATAATGATCTCCGGTTTCATCCATGGCCTTCAAGTTTTAGCTTGTGCTTTCACTATCTTCTTAAGTCTGTCATTCTACTCTATTTTGTCAATCATACTTTTCTACTCTTTACTATTGCTCTCACTTTTTTCTACTGTACTTGAAAAAAAAAGCCCACATTTCTTTCACGTTAGACTAGGCTTTCACTAATTTGGCTTCCCCTCAGTTCATACTTTCACTTTGCTGCCAACTATATCCAACAGGCTTCTGTCAAACAAAAATACATACTTTTGTCAAACACAATGTATGTTTTCCTTTAAAAAAAACCAAAAAACTGTCTTCGTTTATGCTGTTTTGTCGACTTCCCTGTTAGGAGGTTAAGTCTGTACTACAACAAGGCAGATACAGCTCCACGTCGTCAGATTCTGCACTTAACCTTTCAAAATGTGTCTGTCTTTAATCTGTGTAATGAATGAGGATGTTTAATCATTCAGATGATAACTAAACGGTGTATTTCTCCAAGGAATATCTGTTATAGATGTTAATTATAGATAAAAGAGATATACCATAGTGAGAAATATATCATTCTTGTTGACTTCATTAGTATCATTGTCATTTCTGAAAATAGCTTACCATTTATTCCTGATTACCTTGAAATGGAGAAACTGTTATAGCTGCATAATTAAATGTTTCAGTTTAATTTGACTGGAAACTGCTCAGCAGTAAATTTTAGTTGCATATCCTTGGTTTTGATTGTTTTAGGCTCATGCCATTGAACTGTAGGGAGACTGAATTGTAATAGAGAAAGCTCCTGAATATAAAAAGCCAGTAACCTCTACTGTCATTTCCACTCTGAGCAGAAATTTTGAAATTATATAATTTAAAAATTATGACTTCTAGTTTAACTAGTTCTCTATATGGAATCTATACAGACAGAGAGGAAACGGGGGGAAAAAAATGGAAAATAATTCTGGTAAATCATCTAACCTGTCTTGGGAGCTGGGTTTAGAGCTCTCTTTGGGAAAACTTAGTGAGGTAAGCATCATTACTTAACTGAGAAGCAAGGAGATAATACAAGTTTACACAAAGGCACAAAAGTCTAGTTTTGAATTGTAGAAAAAATCAATCCAGTAGGTAAAAATTAGTTATGAACAGGAATGATTTCGGGGTGAGACTTCCATTGCACCCCATAGGATTACTGTTTAGAGTGAGGAGTCTTCCTGCACCTGAAGTGAGAGATTCGTGTTAGGATGCTAAAAAGACCCCTGGGAGTTGAAGACAGCATTGAAAACATCTTGCCACCTCATCTAGCCACCTTTTGAGAAGGAAGAATTTGTATTAAAACAACATGCTCATCTACTCATAATTTTAAAATATCAGAGCTTGCATCCGATTTTTATAACCTAGGAGATTCTGGGAGAGCAAAGAATGATTTAACATTTTTATAGAGGGAAAGATTACTTTTCATTGGTCTTATATTTTATGTATCTACTTATTCGACATACATGTACTAGAAAACTGCTATGTTTTGTTGTTAGAAGAGTGAATAAAAAGAACATGTGTATGCTCACTCTCATGAAGCTTTGAGTCAAGTAAGTGGTATATGGGATAAAGCATGCTAAGGATACATGAAAGAGTTTCAGTTGCATTTGGGAAGTTATCTTGGCAATATAGAAAGATCCCACGTCAACCAAAAATAAATAAATCCATAAATTAGCTGGGTGTGGTGGTAGGTACCTGTAGTCCCAGCTACTTGGGAGACTGAGGCGAGATGATCGCTTGAGCTCAGGAGCTGGAGGCTGCAGTGAGACATGATCATGCCACTACACACCAGCCTGGGTGATAGCTATGTCAAAAAAGTAAAAAATAAAAATAAAAAAGAAACTACATTTAATATATATAACCTATAGAACATCATAGCTTACACTAGGTTACCTTAAACATGCTCAAAACATATATAATAGCCTAAAATTGGACAAAATAATCTAACACAAAGAGTATTTTATAATAAAGCATTGAATATTTCATGTGATTTATTAAATGCTGTAGTGAAAAATGAAAAACAGAATGGTTGTATGCTTGCTTAAAGAGCGGTTTCTCTGAATATACCTTCTGCGTCATGATAAAGTCAAAAAATCATTAAGCAAACCATGGCAAGTCAGGAACAGTCTGTACTTGAAAATACCTTCTATACTTAACATCTCCAATCTCTCTCCAGTCTCTGTTGAATGCCCTCAATCATCCCCTGGGCTTCACCATGCCAATAAACTTATATTTTCTTTTTTTTTTTTTTTTCTTTTTCTTTTTTTTTTTTTTTTTGAGACGGAGTCTCGCTCTGTCGCCCAGGCTGGAGTGCTGTGGATCTCAGCTCACTGCAAGCTCCGCCTCCCGGGCTTACACCATTCTCCTGCCTCAGCCTCCTGAGTAGCTGGGACTACAAGCGCCCGCCACCTCGCCCGGCTAGTTTTTTGTATTTTTTTTTAGTAGAGACGGGGTTTCACCGTGTTAGCCAGGATGGTTTCCATCTCCTGACCTCGTAATCCGCCCGTCTCAGCCTCCCAAAGTGCTGGGATTACAGGCTTGAGCCACCGCGCCCAGCCAACTTATATTTTCAATGTCACCCGTGGCTAATCATCAGTCCTCAATTTGCTTGACCTAGGAAAAATGTTTAGTCTTTCTACTTGATATCCAAGACACCAATTTTTCTTGGGCTTTCCTTTTCAGTCTTCTTTGCTGAATCCCACCCTTTTTCCTGACCATTTAATATTAAGGCCAATCATTGTATGATTTCTGATATTTTTGTATAGTTACTCCTTTGTGGATCTCATTCCTTCAAAGGTGTTTGATGACATTGATACATTGACCACTTCCTTGTTCATATTTCCCGACTGATTCTCTTTCCTACTCTCTCATTTTTTCTGTTCAACTGTGTACACAATATCACCACATCACCTCTCAAACTTAATGTCTCAAAAACCATACTCCAGATATCCACAACAAGCCTGCTCAATCTATACCCTTTCCCATCTCCTTTGATGGCAACTTCATATTTCCTGTTGTTCAGACCAACAAATCTGGATTCTTCCTCGATTATTTCTCCTAGCACACCACTACTTTACCAGGGAATATTGATTTTCTTATAAAAATATAGAAGGAGCACTACCTATGAAATTTTTTCACAACAAAAAAAAAACTTGAATTTAATCCTACCTATAAGTTAAGTTACAGAGTATATGATGTAAAGAAGAACAGTTAGACAATGCTATAGGAAGGCAATAAGATGAACAAAAATGTGGAACATTCTGTGTGGCAATTGACAGTGCTTCTATAATAAGAAAATGACATGGGATTAAAAAGTGGGGGGATTCTATATATATGTAGAGGCTCAAGGCACACAATGAAGTGCAATGGTCACGACTGGAAACTTCATAAAAGGACATTTTTGATAAAGTAGGGAAGTTTGATATATACCAGATATTAGATATTATTGTTATGGTTAATGTTGTTAGATGTTTAATATTATATAATATAAGGAGAATATTCTTATATTTTCAGTATTCAACTGTCATGGGCTGAGGATGTTATGATATATCAGATTTATCTCAAGAAACTTTGACAAGAAAAGGACAACAAAGAAGGTGATAGATGAAACAAGTATGATGAAGCTAGATAATTGTATCATCAGGGTGAGTCTGATGGGGCCTGGCTGCCATTCTCTCCTCTTGTTGTATGATGAAAAATATTTTAAGCAAAAAAGTTAAAATAGAATCTAGAATCCAACTAAATCTCACTTTATTTATTGTTACTACACTGCTCCATGTTAGTCACTCCAATTTTGATCTTTAAATTTCATGAAATTTCATGCTTTATATTTCTCCCAAGTCTTTCTGGCTCTATTTTCACAACACTTACGTCATGCAGGAACGGCTTCTACCCTAGGCCTACCAACCAAACATTACCTATATTTTCCTTCCAGTTGCAATGGAATAAATTTACTCCTTTTCCAGTGTGTGGTGGACCATATCTCACCACCTCAGTAAATTTTTCTGATTACATTATTTTTCTTTTTAACACTAATTTCCTTACTTGAGTTACAGTATTTTCAGTGGTTGTAGCACAATAAAGGCATATAAAACGATCAGTGAAGCCTGAGAAGGAACTGGTAAACAATCAAAGATGAAAGGGCCAGAGACAATGTCCATGACCAAACCTTAACCTAAAACTTATTTGAGAAACAGGTCACAGTTAAGGAATGAAACTTACCACAGAAGATACCGTGAAACTGATTTCTGGAGTTTTTCGCTCTGTTTATTCTCTCAGAATTAAACATTTAAGGTAGTGAGGCAATTTTAGTATTTTTGCTCTACCAAATATCTTCTTATTTCTCTGAGTGACTACATTTTTAATGAGCAAATATTGTAAGATTATAGAGTGAAGGAAAACTTTATAAAATGATTATTAAAGAAAGTAATTGACTTAAAATTGAGATCAATGTTGTGGTTTTTAAAACAGTAAATGGTTCTGTTAACATTAGGAAAAACAATAATACTTTTATTTTTCTAAATAGTATCATTTTTCTTAAAATTTAAATAAATTACATTAAACTTACATCCTTAGATGTTTTATGTTTTCTTTTAAAAATATTAATATAGAATATAATTTCAAAAGAATTGGAAGATTTCAGGTAAGGTACTTCTAGCACAGTCTGTAGACTATATTCTGGGAGAAAAAGTAGACTTTGTTTAAAACCACTTTCTGTGTGCTACATACAAAAGTGATTATGTTCACTCCATGAAATATCCTTGAGTTAATTAAGTTACAAGAAGACTAACTGAATAGCCCTGTTTGTTTGAATTTTTGGCATTAGTACTGTGAATAAGTGAAATTGATTTTCTACAGAGTTATTTTCATTCAGTATTACCAACTAGGCTCTGGCTCTCTAAGTATGACAAACATGTTTTTAAAATGGATTATTTATAAAGCATAAGGAAGAACATTTTGGAAGACCATAACAATACCTATGAATAATGCTTACATGAATTAGAAGTTTGATTTCAGAGTACACTATCTCTATGTTTTCAATAAGCTGTTGAGCAAGCCAAGGATTCTTAATTCAAAGCACATTCAGCATTTATACAGACCCAGCTTTTTATTCTCTTGCTGTTTTCAAAGATGTATACAAAATTAATATAAGCTCTCTAATCAATTACACAATCCGGGAGCATAGAATATAAAAAATAAATGGTCCAAACCAATTTAACTGTATTTATTAGAGTTAAATATGCTAAAAAAATTTGTCAAGGTGGCAAGTAATTATTTGTTGTATATAATTATACAGAGAGTTTTAAACAGCTTTTTATAATAAATTGGTATAAAAAAATCTGACCATCGTGACCAAAGATGGTATTTTGCTAAATGGCCCTGAAGTGTCTTAGTTACAATTTCTAACATTCCCTGGCAAATTCCTAAAAATGATTTACACAATTAGAGACTATTTATAGAGGGTAGGTTCACTGTTATACTTAATCTGAATCCTGGAAGGGGTGGAGCGTGGAGGGAGTTATTCCTAACAGAAAACAGTAGCCTGTGGAGTAAGGATGGGGGGAAAGTAATCCTTTATTTACCTCCCTACATTTTAATCAATATATTAGCATTTCTGTTTTGGAGTTCTCATTCTGTAACCACTTGTGGCTCTAAAATGAATTGCTTAACCCACACAAACAAAATGAGGAAAACCCCACAAATCATATAGAACAGGGGTCTTCATTTTATGACGCCTGTACCTATGGCATTACGCAAAAGCTTTCTAAAAACTCATGCACACATTATTTTAAGGGAATGCTTTTCTAGATACTTAACTTTTATATACACTCTTTCCTGGTTGATCTGCTTAACAACTAGTGTTCCTATTTCAATCTTCTCCTTCACTGGTATGCTTCTGTCATTTTTACAAGTACAAGCACATTTTATATCTCAATAAGGTATATTCCCCTATACTGTAAAATTTTCAGAACAATTAAGAAGAGAGATAGTTCTAAGTGTAATACTTAAAGTCTTCCTTACAAAAACATCATAACCCTGCCATACACCTTAATTAAATACATTTCCAGTAAAATTTATTTTATAATTAAACATTTCCAAAAGTTGTAATATGTCATGTTAACGTGGTCAATGGTGAACAACTGAAAAATGAAATGCCGTCTTAAATCAGGAAAACACTTTATTGGCAAAGGAAATATTTTAAAGTGTATGTAAATTATAAATAATTTAAATATAATACACACAATATGTTTTCTGTTTTTAAATATATATAAACATGCATAAAAATATTGAAGAAATATTTTTAAGAAGATAAATTTAAAGCAAAGTTCAATGATAAAAAATACAAAAAATATTACTGTTTAAGAGGAGCTTGTTTATTTGCTCTTTTTATGGATACTTGAAAATCACTCTGTAAGAGTAAATGTAATACATCTGAAAGTAATGTAAATTTTAAAAAACTTAAAATTTGGTGGGGAATACATCCTTTATTACTGTTTACATTAATAATAAAAAATTAAAAGATCAATGAAAATGTGACAAGAATATTAAAAAAATTATAGATTCAAGAGAAAAAAGATTGAAAATAACGAATCCAGAAGCCATTCTATTTGTCTATTCTGCCTGGTATCTGCTCTATAACATATTTATTGTTTAATTTCCATAAATACTGTGGTTTTGTGTCAGTTTCTGGTTTTTTTTTTTTGGGTACACTGATAGGCAAGCAGAGTTAGATTCATTTTGCGAGGACTGACATCAATTTTAATTCTCTCAAAATGTATACCACGGAAGGCAACAACTCTGATTCCAAGGCTCTGGTGTTGTTTTTCCAGGTTTATCAATAACTTGTCTCTGACTGTCAGGACAGATAACCCGAACAATGAACACCATTGGATCATTTATTAATTACTTTATTTATTTGTATTTTTAATTGACATATGACATCGCATGTTTTTGTAATGTAAAATGTGATGTTTCAAAGTATGTATATATTGTGAAGAAGTCAAATCTAGCTAATTAACAAATACATCAGCTCACATAGTTATTTTTCTGGTGAATACACATAACATTAACTTTTTATTTCTCAAGAATTCAATATATCATCATCAACTACAATCATCTTGCTCTACATATCCTGAAATTTATTCCTTCTATCTAACTGTAAGCATGTATCCTCTGATTAACATCACCGCAACTCCCCTTGACCCCTAGCTCTGATACCAACTATTGCACTTTCTACTTCTATGAGATCAATTTTTTTACATACCAATAGGAGTCATATTATGATATATTTGTCTTTCTGTGCCTGGCTTATTTCACTTAACACAATGTCCTCCAGGTTCTTCCATGTTGCTCACAAATGACAGGGTTTTCTTTTTTTTTTTTTACTGCCAAATAGTATACCACATTTTCTTTCTTTATTCATCTATTGGTGAACATTTAGGTTCATTTTCTATTTTGATTATTGTGAATAGTACTGCAGTGAACAACGATATGCAGATGTCTATTCAAGATAATGATTTTATTTACTTTGGATGTATACCCATATGGGATTGATTAATCACATGTTAGTTCTACTGTTAATTTTGTGAAGAACCACCTTACTGTTTTCCATTATGACTGTATTAATTTACATTCCCAGTAATAGTGTGTAAAGATTCCCTTATCTCCACATCCTTGCCAACCATTTTTATCATGCAACTTTTTGATAATAGCCATCCTAACCAGGTGAAGTGATATCTCATTGTGGCTTTGACTTGCATTTCCCTGATGTTTAGTGATGTCGCGTATTTTTCATATACCTGTTAGTCAACTATATGTCTTATTTTGAGAAATGTCTGTTAAGGTCTTTTGTGCATTTTTTTAATTAGGCTATCATTATTATGCTTTTGAGTTATTTGAGTTTCATATATATTTTGGGTATTGATCCCTTTTCAGATATATAGTTTGCAAAAATTTTCTACCATTTTGTAGATTACCTATTTCCTCTGTTGATTGTTTCCTTTGCTGTGAAAAAGCTTTTTATGGCTGGGCTTTGTGGCTCATGCCTGTAATCCCAGCATTTTGGGAGGCCGAGGTGGCTGGATGACCTGAGGTCAGGAGTTCGAGACCAGCCTGACCAACATAGAGAAATCCCGTCTCTATTAAAAATACAAAATTAGTCGGGCATGGTGCTGCATGCCTGTAATACCAGCTACTCAGAAGGCTGAGGCAGGAGAATCGCTTGAACCTGGGAGGCAAAGGTTGTGGTGAGCTTAGATCAGAATCTCCGTCTCCAAAAAAAAAAAAAAAAAAAAGCTTTTTATTCACATGTAATCCCAATTGCCTAATTTTGTTTTTGTTGCTTTTTTTTTTTCTGATGTCGTTACAAAACACTACTTGCTTACACCAACATCATGAAGCATTTTCCCTGTTATCTTCTAATAGTTCCTAGTTCCAGGTCTTAAATTTAAGTCTTTAATTCATTTTGAGTTGATTTTTGTGTCTGGTGAGAGATAAGGGTCTACTTCAATTCTTTTGCATTTGTATATCCTGTCTTCTCAACACAATTTTTTTGAGAAGATGATCCTTTCTCCAGTGTGTGTTCTTGGCACATTTGTTGAGAATCAGTTGGCTGCAAGTGCATGGATTTATTTCTGGCTCTCTA